GCATTAGTTCAACATCATCGATTGAAATGGAGAACTACAAAGTTACACCAATTCAAGGAAAGCAAAACGCATAAAATAGGTATAAATCCGAATTCATCTCTTGCTTTGAATTGTGTCTGTTTCACGATTGTGAATGCATTATTAAATACAAATTATTTTCGAATTTATTAAACAACGTATTGGATTCAATATGGTAATGGATTCATAGAATGTGATTGCATTTTTCGTTCCTAATTCGGAAATAGGTTGTAATTGGATTCGGTTTAATTGAGATTGCTGCGGAGTTGTGATTCTTGAATTGGATTTTCATTAAGCGTGATTCAATTTTGCTGCTATTATAATTTTTGTTCATACAAACTGTTTGATAAAATTCCCCACCCCAATTCTTTTATTAGTTTATGATAATTCAACAAAATACAATTGGTTTATGTCTTTGTGATTCGACCTAGGTTAATCCCACTATTTTGCAAAATAATCTTGAGAACCTAGTATTGTTTGATAGTGCCTTGACAACGCTATCAGTTATCAGGACAATTCATAACTCAAAATATTTTTTTCAATTCTTTAATCCATAATTCAACCCTTTCTGGGTTATAACCTCCAGGAAATTGCGGAGGTTTGTTTCTCCAAAATTCAACTAAACCTTGTGATTTATTGGTTCCTTCAGGTCTTTGGTTCCTTAATAATGCAGCAACCATGTCTCGGATAGCTTGTACCGCTTTTGTCAACTCGTTGTTCCTCCTATTATTTGCCATCTAGAATTATATAAGTTAGGATTTATAAGATCTCATGATAGACTCATTTCACAGGTTACACATGAAACGTTGCTCTATGTCTTTTTTTTTTTAATTACGATGTTAACCATATTTTAAGAGATTACTACTTTCTATTAAGTCTTGACAAAAGTAAGATATGAGATAAATGTTTATACATTTATATGTACAAAAATGTGAACTTTACAAGTTTACATTGTTTTAAAATAAGAAACAATTGTTAAAATTGAAAAAAAAAATTTCTTCTTACAATGTTGAATGATACGTGTCTTCCATCTTGATGCTTTCATCAATTTATGTTGTTATTTTAATTGTAGCATGCACAAGAAATAACAATAAGGAAGTGAAAACAATTATCATTTAAAATAATACCATCTTATAATGATATATAAAATATATTTTTCAACTTCACGAACATATTTTATTTATTTCATTTATGAAGATTTAAATTAAATTTGTAGTGACTATTCAGGATAAATGAGCCCAATTTTAATCACTCTCTCAATGATATTTACTCATTTCAATCTCTATGGTCCAACCTCCATCTATAATATCATCAAATCTTCATAAATAAATATTATTATTTAAAAACAATCAAATAATATAAATATAAATCAATAAATAGGACCAGATGCATAATCGAAGATAAAATAAAATAAATAAAATAAACAAACAGGACCGAGTAGAAGATAAATAAATAAGACCAAGTCGAGAATTTGAGATAAATAAATAAACATAAGACAAAACTAGTACATAACTGGAAATAATTAAAATAGGACTAGTGTATAACTGGAAATAATTAAAATATGACTAATGTATAACTGGATATAAATAAATAAACATAAAGTAGATCAGTAAGTAGTTAAAGATAAATAAATAAGTAACAAAATAAATAGAATGAGATTAAGGACATCTTAGTCCACAACTATAATTAAAATAAAATAAATAAAATGATAATTGTCTCTCCCTTACCTTAATATTATAAATAATACACCAAAATTTGTTCCAAAGTTGTTTTTCTTTTCTTCTTCTCTTCTTTCCCTTTCCCTTCTCTTCTCTCCCTCTCTCTTTTTCTTCTCTCTTTTTCTTCTTTCCCTTTCTTACCTTTTTTTTTTCACCACCCATTTTTATAGTGTCATTTTTTTCTCTCATAAATGTTTCTTATCTTTTTATTAAATTAATATTATTTTTAGTTTTTAGTCAATTAAAACTTATCTCTTTTTGTACGAAGAGGTAAGAAATGTTATTTTTTTTACATGTTAATAATAATATATAATATAATAATAATAATTATTATTAATTCTATTATATTTATATATTTTAATTGTAATAGTATATAATAGTAATAATAATAATTTCACAATATATTATAATAATTATTGTTAATTATATATATATATATATATATTCTAATTGATAATAATTATTTTATTATTATTTTAATAAATATATTTTTATTATTATTTTTTATAATAGTTTAACAATAATATATATATATATATATTATTTTAATTTATTTATTTACATAAATGAATTTTTTTAAAATTATTTAAATTATCTAAATATTTTTAATACATTATATTTAAATATTCTTTTACATAAATTAATTTTTAGATGTTAAAATTTTTAATTTTAAAAGATACGAAAATAAACAAAAAAGAAATAAAAAAAAATCAAAACTAACATGAATAAATTTTTAATTCTAAAATTAAAATATTTAAAATTAATATATATATACATATATATATATATATATATATATAATATTTATCTAAAAATTATGAATTCTACTTAAGGTAATATTAACTTTTTTTAATTTATTTTATATTGATTTCTAGTTTATCATTTAATAATTTTAATATTCCACTCTCAATAACTAAATGATTGATAAATTTTACTTAACCTATTCTTCTCATAAAACTCAAAATTATATGATGAAAATAGAAGATAAAAATATATAAAAAATATGTAAAATAAAAAATTGTAATAAAATTGTTACAATTTTTATTATATATATAACAAAAATATATTTACTAAGAATTAACTAGAGTTAGTCAATCAATTCAAACACTGTTATTTTATCAAAGTGGTCCTTTCCACTTCTCCAAAGTTAAAACCTTCACAATTCTTGTCCTTTCCCTTTCTTCAAAACTCTTTTCCTTCTTGGCTTCTACTTTTATCATTTTCCAACCACACCATTCCTCATCTTCTTTCCTCCTCAACTAAAGCATAATTCATTAATAATAAACATGTTTCATAAAAATAATGAAAGATAAAAAAAATATTTAGTTAATTTTATTTATTTATTTTTAGTTATTTAGTTATATATTTCTTACTTAAACTAAACACATTTAATTTTACTCGTTTATACGCAGTTTTTTCTTATTTTTTCCCATATCAATGTAAGGTTTTTAAAATAAATCAATCTTTAAAAAAAACTAAAAAAAGTAATAATTGATTATTAATTTTAAATTTTTTAGATTTTTTTAAATGATACTTTTTGTTCATATTTTATATTAAAAATGAACCAAGTGAATTAATTAATTTATATTATTTAAATTAATTTGTAACTAACAAGTATATTTCTTGAATATTATTTTACGATTTAATTATATTTTATTTATGATAATAAATTTATATTATAATTTTGAAATGTAATATTATATAATTTATTTATAAATGTGAAAATTTTGAGTTCATAAAAATATATTTATTAAATATATTTTATCATAAAATATTTAACATTTTTTAAAAGCAAATATTTAACAATTTATAATAATAAAAATCACAAAAATATTTAAATAAAATTAAAAAACATTAATCTCATTTAATTCATATTTTATATTAAATTAAAATTAAGTGAGAAGATTATTTAATAAAAAAATTGAAAAATAAAATCCTCATTCCATGTTTCTTTGAAATGAAAGAATGAATTTTTATTTTACTTTAAACATGTCTTAAAATAAGGATTAATTTATTTATTTTTATTAAATTTAAAACATGTAAACAAATTATAAAATATTTTATTGTATTTTATTTTTTATATAAATGATTATTAAAAAAATAAAAACTCACGTTGCACTGATTCGTGTGTCACCGACATGCATGACGATGATAGATAATAGGTTCCGATGTCTATATCCCACCAATCATCACATCCACTTTCTTAGTGAATCTCTCACTGTTTTTAAAAAATCTTTCAAACAATCAATTTAATATTTTGAAAAAAAAAAAAATATATATATATATATATATATATATATATATATATATATATATATATATATATATATATATATATCACATTGAAAGAAAATTTAATATTCATTTTTATAGAAATGTAAGAACTCATGCACAATTTTTTAAATATAATTTTTATTATTAACATGATTTAAAAATTAAACCAAATTGACCAACTTAATCGATTAAATAGAAAATTAGAGTAAACATTTATCAATTATTTTTAAAAACTAAATTTTAATTAAATCAGAACAAAATAAAAAAATATTTTAGATTGAATTAATTTTGACAAAAAAAATTATAAATTTTTTTAATATAATTCTTTTATAAAATATATAATATATTTTTTATCTCATTATTCATATCTATTTTATTATATTTTTATCTTATTATTTTTAATATATTTTATATTTATAATTTGATAATAATTTTTATTATTTTTTTAATATAATAATATTAATAAATTTATTATATTATAAAAATATTATTTTATTAAATGAGATTTTAGACACTGACCTCGTTCACCGGACTTAAAAACATTGATATTGATATATCATTCAAGAGATAAATAAACTTAGAACCTGATTATTTTAGCTTCAGTACATAATGATTGCATTTCATAAAGTTTTGGTAAGTCTCATATAATAAATTTATAATTTTTAATAAAATAAAAACCATAGAATGAGAGAAACAAATCAAAGCATTAGTATCTGACCAATTCTCATGTCTGGAGAAAACTACATTGCCATCTAAATCTCTACCACAACAATTTGAGAAAGAAAAAGATCTCTACCACTTACACTAACAGTAGAATTAGAGACAGATAAACATCACTTTTAACTCTCTACCTTGTCTCTCTAACATATAAAAACACCTTGTGATGGACACTAGACAAATATAGAACACATTTCTGCTTTACATGTAAGGAACCACATTTCAACATCCAAACTTGATAACAGTGACTTTTCAGTGCTAGTCTGCAGTTCATCACTTCACCTTGCCTTCGTCTTCCTCAGGGTCACGAAGAGTCCCAAACATCCAATCCATCCATATGGTATAATGGCCATAGTTGTGCCGGTATGTAGTGTGGTGAATGGTGTGGTAACCAGCACCCATAACAGGCCACAACTTTCCATGAATGCAGTCATGAATATTTGCAGTCCAAACACCCTCAAGGAAAATGAGCACTAAATGTGTAGTAAAATGGATTGGGAGAAAAAACAAAGAAAGGGTATGTGGTAATGCCTGAAGAATTCCATCAAGAGGGTGAAATGCCAAACCTGAGATACATGCGGCGAAAGTCAGTACATCCTTGATAAAGTCCAAAGATCAAATTGATGATGAAAGAGAAATCAATGGCAGAACAAATAAAGATGATGTTGATATTCAAAACCATGAAACAGACTAATAGTATAAATAAACAGAATTGCATCCATTTACAATGATGCCAAAGTTGAAAAGCTGCTTCTAACAATCAAAGAGAGTCGCATCCATTTGCAGGGGGACAAAAAATAACTCACATAAACTATTAAATTAATGTTTTTGTTACTAGAATTTTGCTAGAGTAGCATCTCTACTTGTAAGGTGTTTATGTTGATTATCAACCACCATAATAGTGTACTAACAATTGCTTGGAATGCTAGTAAAGTTTACCTGGTTAGCTTGTAAAAAAAGACAGTACTGCTAGAAAACACGTGTATGATGGCTAAAACTGCCACATGTTTTGAAAGTTATATAATAAATCCAAGGACCTTTGATTAAAGCCAACAGATAATAATATCTTGAACCATCACCCCAATTTTGGGAAGTATATCCACAATCCACTGGTTGACAAAACAAAAAGTCACATGAAATAGGATGTCAATAAGAACGTTATTGTAAGAGGCAAAAACTACTTGAGACCGAAATATATTTTAGTCTCTATGTACATATATACCCATCTCTTAGCTATATGATTGGTTTCTGTCCATAGCTTTAAATTCCCACAAAAATCTTCACTATTCTCTCTCTGTTTTGGGTCAGTTAGTCTCCTCCTTTCAAGAATGTCTGTTTTCTATTTCCCTTGTATCCTCACTAATATTCCCTTTCCTTACTCTTCCTCATTAGGGATTTCATGAGTTCCTCATAAGAATGTCTGTTACTCCAAATTGGTGATATGCATATGACATACATTTTCTTAGATGTATAGTTTCAACCTCCAACTAGCATGGTATCAGAAGGACCGCTCTTATGGAAGAGCTCGAGTGATTTTGAGCTCATGTAAGAATGATCACATCATCAAACTTATATTCCACATGATAAAGGTGTATTATGAGATAATCACACACTGTAATCCTGTCAAACTCTAACCCTTAAAGGTAGTATCATCTACCACGGTATACACATAAATTATGAAATAACCCAACAATAGACATAAAACATTTTTTTGAAGACATTATGAATTATCTTCATGTCAAGCATTAAAAGGTTAAAAGAATTATATGAAGAGTTTTAGTGTGACATTACTACAACTGCAGTGTTGAAATATTGAATATTTTCGTACTCACCAGCAAAAGGGGAGAGAGTGTTCTGTTTATTGTAGATGTGATGCGTAGCATGAAGATGTTTGTAAAGAGGTTTAATGTCATGCAGCTCTCTGTGCATCCAATAAATACCAAACTCTACAACAACTAGATAAATAGCTAAATACACAAGGTATGTAAGCCAACCAACATTATATAATCTAGGATAGCACTTTGTCCAGCCAGTTTCTACTAGGTACTCTGAAACAGTTGGAAGCAAAGTGTACCAAGGCATGGCTTTCATAGCAACATATATTTGCAACAGCATGGCTCTTCGAGAGGGAATAGCATCTGCAATGGTAGATTTAAATATATCAATAAATGAAAGTTACAAAAGATCCTATGCACCTTACACAAATAAAAAATAATTAAAACCACAACAACACATAAAACTACATACAAGTATACTTGAAAAGCCATTAGTTTGGGCAATGAAAACACATACAATACAATTGATCTACTTGGTTGAGTTTGGACTGCGATAACTCAAATTTTCTAGAGCCAGTCTAAAGATGAATATAAACAACTTGGTCTCAGACTTCTGAATATAGTCCATAAGAGGTAAAATATAAACAACTTGCTTTGTATTAATCTATACAAAGATATTTTATGCTACTGTCTGACGTAAAGAAAGAGGTAAAATATACATATACCATCAGTTGGCTAACTGTAGTCCAGACTAATATGTTATTCCATGATCCAACAAGCCATCAAACTCTTTAATCACCATAGTATAGGAAGTAAAGCTAAAGAAAATTGCATAGCAGATATTTAAATGAGAATAGCCAATTTATATGGGTATGAAACAATGAACATCAATCTTCTCATTGACTAAACTGTAGTGTATAGAACAATTCCCTGTTCTAAAACTTAAAGTTGCACACTTATAAAACCAATGTTTTAAACTGTGGTCATATCTACTGTTTCATTATGATCCTTAATATTGCAAAAGAAGTTGCTCAAACATGTGGTAGAAGTGACTGCAATTGTGGGGACACTGGGGCTGTGAATGCTTTTGCATACTGTTTTTCAAAACTATGATAAAACCATATAGGTTATAATGGAAACAGGCCATCAAAGCCATAAACAATCTCCATCTTGGAAATATCATAGAGAGAACAATAAAAGTCCTCTCTAGTAATGCATAAAGATGAGTGGTAATTTCAAAAGGTAAAGAACACAATCCAAGTTTCCAAAATATTCGAGCACTGCATAAAGTCAACGCTATAACCTTACGTAGCAGAATGTCAGCAGTATTTTAAGTTGTAACAAAAATTTTCAGGAACATGCATCATATTTGGTCCAGTGATGTTTTACAGAACAAGAATAGAAGTCCGTGATAGTAGTATAATGGATAGTGAAAATGAAAACCTTGCTTTGAGCAAAAAAAAAGAAACCTCTCCACATAATTTTCCCGGAGATTACACAAATACAAAAAACAACAAAATCCTTTCAAGACCCCGAGTGAGACGGTTTACATGGATCAGACGCACACAGACACAAGAGTATTCTAAAAAAATTCATAGAATTTGAGGAACTGTTTTTCTTAGATGACATGTTAAAGAAATGTCCGAAAACATATTTACAAAATCTTCGTACTGAATTCTATAAATAAACAATCCAATTAATCAAAACGCAAAACGAAGATCGTATGAATACGATTTTGCACTTCTCCACAAATATAATTTATTTCTTTATTCCCAAGAACTTGTTCTTATTAACTCTTTGGTTCGAGAATTTATATATAATTTAAGTGACACAATAAAACAAGAGAGCGAGGAGTTTTTGTCATCCACTCAAATTAACTACTTTAACAAGAGAACCAACAATTCTTAGAAGTAGTCACTCAGTTTACCAAATAGCACATGCTTTACAAAAGTCAGAACAGATCTATAAAAGGAAAAGCAGGAATCACATGCATCGGCATAAACGGTACAGTGAGTAAGCATAATCCATCCAAGACAAACAGCTTAACATCATGCAAAATAATTAAAAATATAGCAACCATTGGAAATCACGCACTGGAAGACCCAAATCCAATTGAACTCCAATTTCCTCCCCATAATCTAAACCCCAATGAAAATCTAGAACACCAAAAACCCCAAAAAGTAATCAACTTTGTTTTTTTTTTTTTTTTTTTTCTATAACCATGCAAGACCAAACCAGATTAACAAACTAGTCAAAATTTTAATCAAAGCCAAAATATGCCATTTTTACAAAACAGACAGAGGAACATAACATAATTCTTACTGCCCACAGAGACCCTGCAAACCGCCCTACCAAAAAGAATATTGATTTTTGTTCAGAAAAAAGCCAAAACCAAAGCAAGTAGGAACCAGATTTAAACATACCATCTTTAACAAAACACAACATAAATTTTAGTCTCCGCCCATACAATCATGTTCTTCATTCAAGATTCAACCTTGATTAATTTTAATCAAAAAACGATTAGTCCCTCGTGACAAACCCAACCATTGTGTTTGAAAACAAAATGATGATCACACAGACAAATAACAAAAAGAGGACCAGAAAAGGTGGAGAATAGGATAAACCTTTGGGGACATAAACGTTGCGTTTCCAATAGTAAATGTAGAAGCACCACAAGAAGCCGGAGATGAAGTAGAGAAGGACGCCACCAAGGTAGTTCCGGAGCCACGTCTGGAGGAACCGCGGGAGTGGGGCCCACACGCACCGCGGCAAAAGGTTGGCCAACACAATGCGGTTGTAAAAGTCTGTGTCTTCGCCGAAGAGGCTCCCATAATCGCTCAACGACGGAGTTAGGTCCTCCATGGCCACCGTGGAGAAGAAACGGAATCAGAACACAACACTGAAGATGGAGAAAGAGAGAGAATGAAACTCCGATAACAGTCCAGAGGGGAAAACACAGACGCTGATTTCTTTCGTTTAGTTTATTATATTTAACAGGGTACGATTTCTTGGTGTCGTGTGTGTTTTTTGTAATGAGAATATGACGTTGATTTTTTATTTTTTTATTATTTTTATTTTTTTCAGAAGCATGTGTGATCTTGTTGTTAATCTACGTTATTTGGTTTCTTCGTAGTAAACCTAACAAAAAACAAAGATTTTTTTTTATATAGATAAACATAATTTTAGCATCATCATAAAATAAATAAATTTTATTATATATCTCAAAAAATAAATTCACCTTCTGTACAAATTATACTTGTTATTTATAGTTTTTGTAAATAAAAAGACTTTTAGTATCTATAAAAAAATTATTTTATCTATCAAAACTACAAATCGATATTTTTCTATTTACAATATTTATTTTAAATTAATAATACATAAATATTTAAATAAACTAAAAATGTCAAATACTAGAATTATATCACAAAATTGTAACAGATATTTTAGCACAAATAAATAAGATTACCTATATGAAATTTAAGTAGAAATTTAATTTACGATGAAAAGTTCTAAAATTTTAAAATATTTCATATTATTATGAAATAAAACATGTAATAAAAGTATATTAAATAAAAAAATTATTTTGAAAAACATATTGACCTCAAAATTCTATATTCAGCTCAAATTATTTTTTTAATGTCTTAAAAGTAAAAAAAATGAATATTAACTTTTTAAATAAATATTTGTGAATAAATAATAATTTAAATAATGAATATTATTAAAAAAAATTGGGCTGAAATACACTAATATAATAATTATAAAAATCATTAATCACTTTAATTGACAAATGTTCCAAGAGAACTTCATTGAATGAAGTTTTTATTTCGAAAAAGTCAACCATTTACGTCTATTAAATCGTCAAAGTAATTTTTTATTTATTAAGCTGTTATCACGTAGATATATGTCCGTGAAATGATTGTATTTTTTTTCATCTGAATTTAACGATATTTTTTTATTTTTTAACTTATAAAATATTTATATTTAGTTATTGTAGCAAAGACTTGTAATAATAATATATATATATATATATATATATATATATATATATATATATATATATGTATATGTGTGTAATTAAAATTATTGTATAATTTAAGTTTTATGAACCAAAAGATGAGATTTATCACAGATTTGAGTAGAAGTATATATCTCTACTTTTCTCTATGCATTTTACCTTTTCAGCCTTTTCCATTTTTTTATTTTCACCTTCCAAGATGGAATTATATAACTTAAAAAAAATCATTTGGAAATTTTTCTTTTGTAGTTGATACATATTTAAAAATATGTAAAATTTTGAATTATCCTAATTAATATATATATATATATATATACATATATATTAAAAAATATTTAAAATATTATTTTATTAGATATAATTAATATTTTCACTTATTTAGTCATTGTCGAATTTAAAAAAATTGAAAATTGTAATAAAAATATAAGATATAACTATATATATGTATATCCTATATAAATTGAACTAATTTTAAGCAAGAAAAGTATAGAAGAGTTACTTTCCATTATAAGAGATATATTTATATATAAGCATCGAAAAGTATAAGAAAGATATTATTTTACAAAATTATCTTCACTCAAATATATACTTTTAATTACTATTTTAATAAAATATCATAAATATGAAAGTAATTATAAAAATCAAATGAATAATTTTATATATTTTTTTATTTGTTTGTAATATAACATTGTTTTATCAATTTAATATCAAATCATTTTAGAAATAAATTTATAATAAAAAAATTATATATCAAAGTATATATTATTAATATATATATATATATATATATATATATATATAATTTAAAGGTATTACTTTCAAAAGCTATTTTATTAATAAAAAATCAATTAATAATTATATGGATAATTTTATAGTTGAATAAATATTAATTTTAATTTAATTATTTATTATTTTCTAGAATGAACATTTTTCTTCCTTTTCATATTATTTTCTTTTTTAAGTGAATAAAAATATTTTTCACTTTATTTCATCTCACTTTCCTTCCTTTTCTTTCCCTATTTATGAAACATTATATGTTCTTGATCATAAGACTTTTGAAATCAAATAGATAAGGAAAACAAGATAACTTAATTATTCAAAAATACTTACTATATTTACAATTTTAAACATTTTTTCAAAATATTTTCAATCAATCATACTTTAACACATTCACATCATATCACTTTCACCAATGAAACAAAATTTTCCTAGAAGTTTTAGTATTAAGTTCTAAACTCAAAGACTAACACCTATTCATCACACCTATTAACTAACCAATTGTATTAGGACTCAAATAATAGTATAATTTTGCCTTCTCCTTTACACAAAGTAAAATTTCTAAAAATCTTACTTTGTTTCTAGTGCATACACACTTGAGAGCATGTTAGCAACAATCCTTTTTATCAATTGCTTACCATTTAATACCTTAACCTATATGATTTAAGTTATTAGTTAAATTTGAATATATAATTGTGTTTATCGACTTAAGTGTTAATGACTACTTGATTCAGATACTTGCAGTATTAATGACTACTCCTCTTATGACTGCCTTACTTAAGTGTTAGTCTATCGCTTAAGCCAATTGTCATAATTTTGGTCACCTCTTTTATTATTTTATATGTCACTCAAGTAACCAACATATATACGCCTTAGTGAAATGACTTAATTCAGTGAAACAATAACATTCAACTATCATTCTAATCGTAATATGCATTTCATAATTTTATTCAAGTACAAAATAACACTAACAATATACTTTATTGTATATTTGAATTCTAATAAAAACTTATTTTTAGATATTAAACTTCCTTTACCTAAATTATTTTTATTTTCTAACAAAGAACTCTTTTCAGGTGTAAGGTGAGTTTTACTCCACTTCTATTTAGACATCCAACATTCTCATACAACCTTTAGGCTTATATAACTTAATCCATTTTCTCCTTAGCCTAGAAAACTTCCCAAAATTATATAGAATTTTTTTTTTAGAGTTTTGAATTATAACTATTAGTTTCATAAAGATAATAAATATTGTTATTAAAATCAAATCACATCTCAACTAAAATGATTCATGCTTAAAATATTATAACTATTGAAATATAAAACTTACACCAACTAACAAATTAATAATAATCATAATTTTTGTATGTAAATCATTCAAAAATTTAAATTAATATGTTAAATTTTAATATATTAGTATGAATTGTGGTGATAATTGATTTGGGTAAAGAATAACATGAAAGGACCTTTAATTATCATAATAATTATTATGATTATAATAACTACTTATTAAGCAATTATCATAATTATAGTAATTATTTGATATACAAATCTTCTTATATTTCAAACAAATTGAATTACTTAGAAATAATATTTAATACCATATTATTTTATTATGGTATAATTGAGGATTCAACAGATATAGCTATTAGACTCACAACAAATGCCCACTAGGAATCGAATTGGTGATCTTGGCTTTGATACCAATTTGTTAGGATCGAACGTTTACCACTTGACTAAAAGTTATAACTATTAGTCAGAACACAACTCTTTTTACTTAAGAGTAATAGCCCAAGCGTCACAATTCGATTGTGACTCGACCCACTCAGTCTCCACCACGGAACAATTAATGCTACCTGTAACAGGCACTAGGGACTCATCCAATAGCACTAGGCAGTGGCGGATCTTCTTGGGAGCTGAGGGTGGCCGTGACCCCCCCCCCCCAAAGTTTTGTAACTCCCATGTAATTAATGATTTTGACCCCTCCAAACATAATGAGTATTTAATATATTTACTTGTATATTTACAATTTTATTCTCTCAGCCCCTCCTCAGTTTTGTAACTTTCATATCATTTATGATTTTGTTTCCCTCAAACTTAATGATAATTTAATATATTTAAGTATATATCTACAATTTTATCTTTTCAACCTTTCATATTCTTTCTTCCTTTTATATTTATTTATTATTTATTAATAATATATTATTTGGCCCCCCCAAAGATCAATGGTCAAGATCCGCCACTGGCACTAGGAACTCATTCAGTGACACTCGAGACTCGTCCAGTGGTACCAAGCATGTTTCTGGTGGTTCACCTAGTGGAACCAAGTCCTCTCATGCAGTGACAGATCTTCTTGGGAGCTGAGGGGCTGTGGCCCCCAAAAGTTTTGTAACTCTCATGTAATTTATGATTTTGGCCCCCAAACTTAATGAACATTTAATATATTTACTTGTATATTTATAATTTTATCCTCTCAGTCTCTCCTCAGTTTTGTAACTCTTATGTAATTTATGATTTTGTTCCCCTTAAACTTAATGATTATTTAATATATTTAAGTATATATTTACAATTTTATCTTTTCACCCTTTAATCTTCTTTCTTCCTTTTATATTTATTTATTATTTATTAATAATATATTATTTGGTCTCCCCAAGATCAATGGTCAAGATCCATCAATGCTCTCATGTAGGTTTACCAAACATACTTATGGGACATGCTTAAAACTCCATGATTATCTCAATTTTTGGTTATATTTTAAGGCTTCAAAGCATCATAATTTAAGTAGCACCAATAATCAGTGACAGATCTTGACCATTGATTTTGGGGGGGCCAAATAATATATTATTAATAAATAATAAATAAATATAAAAGGGTGAAAGAAAATGAAAGGGTGAGAGGATAAAATTGTAAATGTATAAATAAATATATTAAATGATCATTAAGTTTGAGGGATCATAAGTTATATGAGAGTTAGGAATGATAAAAGGATAAAATTGTAAATATACAAGTAAATATATTAAATGATCATTAAGTTTGGAGGGGCCAAAATCATAAATTACATGGGAGTTAC